CGGAGCGGCGGGGCCGGGTCGCACCGGCTGCGGGGTTCGGAGCAGAATGCGGGGTCCGGAGCAGAATGCGGGGTTCGGAGCAGAATGCGGGGTTCGGGGCCGGCTGCGGGGTTCGGACCGGCTGCAGGGTTCGGGGCCGGCTGCGGGGTTCGGGGCAGGATGCGGGGTTCGGGGCAGGCTGCGGGGTTCGGGGCTGGCTGCGGGGTCCGGGTGCGGCTGCGGATGGTCGGTGCGGGGTGCGCGGGGCCGGGGCAGCTGCGGAGAGCAGAGCGGGGTGCGGGGGTCCATGGCAATTGCAGGGGGCCGTTGCAGTCGCGGGGGGCCGGGGCAAGGTGCGGAGGCCCCGGGCAGTTGCGGGGGCTGGGTCCGGCTGCGGCGGAGCCCCGGGGCGCGGCGTTCCCGCGGCCGCGGCGGGGAGCCCCGCACCCGCGCATGCCGCAGCCGGGTGCCGCAGGGCGGAGGGCTCCGCTGCCCCCCGCCCGCACCGCTCCCCCCCCGCCTCTCGTACAGTTTGGGGGTGCTTTTGTATTCCTTAAGGCTGTGCGTGCGTGTTGTCCTTCGCAATGAAGGCTGCGCTGCAACAGCAGCGTTAAAACCCGCACACCACAACCCTCCGCCGCTCCGCCCCTCCCCTTCTGCAAAAGGCAAGGCCCCCCCGCTAAAACAGAATAACAACGCTGAGAAAGCGCACACACACGCACACACGATCGCGCCGTGGCCATGGCGATCCGCTGTGCCTTATGTAAAGGCAGAGCACACGGCCGAGCCCGCCAGGTTACACGGCGGCTGCTGCGCAGCAGCGCCCGCCCCCCCGCCCGGTGCCGCAGAGGGCCGGCGGCGGGGGCTGCCCCGCTCCCCCCGGCCCCTGCCCGCCGCCGGCTCCTTGTTTTCCCCTCTCAGTGGGCAGAGCCCCTGGCCCCGGAGCAGGCGCCGCAGCTGCCGGCACCCCCACGACTTGTTGTTGGTGGGTCTGGTGCCGGGAGTACCCGGGAGGAGGGGCGGGGGCGGCGCACGGCGGGGCGGGAGCGGTATATGCTGCTCCTCGCCGGGGCCACGCTCCAGACCGGCCACCGCTCCGGAGCGAGCCCCGAGCCTCCCTCTGCCTGGAGTTGCAGTTCGTCTCCGATCCCCTTGGGATTTAAACCTTCTTGCATATATATATTTTTTTTCTCCCCCTTCCTCCTCCTCCTCCTCCTCCTCCTGTCTTTTTCTCCCGTGCAAAGTGGAGCAGGAACTGCACCAAGGCAGCCCGCGAGATCCTGCAATACCGCTCCGATTTATCCCTGCTACTATTCCTAATTAATTATTATTTTTGACCTCGCCCCAGCCGGGGAGGGGAGCCCGGGACCCGTTCTCGGCAGGAGAAACATTTCGCTCCGTATCAATAAAGATTTTTGATTTTTCCCCTCTCCGAGGAGGGGCCGGGTGGAGGGCAGGCACGGCGGGGAGGGCCGGCCCTCGGCGGAGAGCGCAGCCCCGCGGTCCCGGCGCGGCGCGGAGCGGCGGCCGCGGCGGGGGGAGGCGGCCCCAGCGCCGCCCGCGCGAGGGGGGCAGCCGCCCCAGACAGGTGATGGGCGTTTCGGCTGCGCTCCGGATCGACTCCTTGGGTTTCACTTTGGTCTGATCTAAGCAAATATGCAGAAGTACCGGCTGGTCTAGTCCTAAGAGCCAAGAGGAGCGAGCGAGAGCGGCAGAAGGGAGAGCAGCCACGCTCCCGTAGCGAGGGGAACGTACAAACAGCGGCCGCGCCGTCATTAAACCACCGCCGCCCCGGGCAGCCCCGACCCACCCTGGATGCGGAGGACCCCCGAGCCACCCCGCTGCCTTTCCCCTGAGGGATGGTACTGAATTCCTGCGCGGCAGGAGCCGGCCTGCAGCCCCTCTCCATCAGCGTTGCCTTCCCTCCGTGTCTAAAGTGCACTAGACCGCGATGAGGACCTGGGCTTGCGTTTTGCTGATAGGTTTTGGCTACCTGTCCTTTACCTTCTCCGAGGTAGGTGAGAGCGGCTTCCTGCGCTGCCGGTCCCCGGGGCACGCCGCWGCCGGGGGTCGGGGCGAGCCGCGGCGGAGGGCACCGGGAGGGAGCGGGCTGCCCACCTGGGCTCCGCGGGCATCCCCGCACCCCGGCCCCGCCGGGAGCGCTGCCCTGCCCCGGGCCCTGCGCGGCCGAGCCTGGCAGCAAGTTGCCATTTCATGCATGGCAGAAGCGAAGGGGAATGACCGTGCATTCCGCACCCGGGCTGCTGGCTGCCCTGAAAAATTAATATGTATATAATATATATTACATATATAATAAAYGTAGGATAAAATATCCACGCCCCGCGGGTGCCAGCGGGCTGCGGCTGTGCGGAAGCCGAGGGTGCGCGGAGCCGGGCCGCCCCCGCGGCGCCCAGCGCTGCACACCGCGGCCGCGGGCACCGCCAGTGCCKCGGGCAGAACTTGGGGGAATCCCCCGCGCCCCAAAACGCCCCTCCCCGGTTTGTGAAGCTCCCCCGGWGCAGTCGGGAGCTCGCCCGCCCGCAGGGGACGGAGGGGGCGCGGAGCCGCGTCCCGGGGTTGCTACAGGTGGCCCCGGTCGGGCCGAGCGCGGTGCTCRGCGCTGCACGGCGGCTGTAACTTTTCCCGGGACCGGGTCTGCTTGGCACTGGGAGCCGCGACGTGGGCGCTGGTAGGATGGCGGCCACCCCGTGGGACGCGGTTCTCCTCCTCCTCCTCCTCCTGCCCGGGTCGGAGCAGCCCGCGCCCGCGGGGGACTTGGCTCCCASCGGGGCGAACTTCGGCAGCCGCTGCCCGGGGTGGGTGGGCTGCAGCCGGGGCTCAGGGGCTCGGGTTTTGGGCGCTGCCGGGCACACGCTGCCAGGCGGGGCCGTGCGGAGCTGCCGCCCCGCTCAGCCGTGGCGCAGTCGGCGCGCAGCCCCCGCGGGCGCGCAGGCGGGGGCGGTGGGAGCGCTCCGGCGCCCCGCGGAACGCCGTGTTGGGGGTGTGTGCGTGGATTTTCCCCCCCGCTTCATCCCGGCAAACGCCCCGCGCWCCCTCCCCGGCGAGCCCCGAGCCCCGATCCGCCCCACGGCCGGCGCTGCGGGCGCGCCCGGCGGCACTGCGCGCTGACCCGCGGTGTGTGTGTCTTTGAAGGAGGCCGAGATCCCGCAGGAGCTCATCGAGCGGCTGGCGCACAGCGAGATCCACAGCATCCGCGACTTGCAGCGCCTCCTGGAGATTGACTCCGTAGGTAAATTAGTCCCGTCCTCCTTCCTTCCGCGCCGTCGGCCGCCGCCGCCCCGGGGGAGGCTCCGCTCGCCCCGCGCTCCCCGCAGCTCGCCCGGCGCTCCGTGCGGGACCGGCCCCGACAGCCTGGGCTGCGTGTCACGGGCAGGCGGCGGCCAAGGGGCCGAAAAATTAAACGAAATTAAAACTTCGTGGGGTTCAGGGTGGAGAGGGACCTTGTGACCCACTCGGTGGTGTCAGAGCTCTCTCCGTCTCGCAGCGGAGAATTGCCGTAAGGTTTGTTGTTGGTCCTGCCATTGTTCTGTTATCTTTAAACTACTGTCCTAGAGGTATTTAAAATATCTAAAACAATATTTATGAATGAAGTAATGTCTCTTCAAGCGCTGGGCTTTATTAAAAGGAAAATAAACCGTCCGCACTGATTTTAAACAGGAACCTGCATATGAAGCTTACCCTGARAAATACTCTTTTTTGCTCCCCAAAAGAATATAGTGCAGGGTTATTTTCTGCATCATTAGGCATGCAAATGGGTGTAGTGAGAACGTGCAGTTTAACAGATCGTTGCTGCAGTAAATCAGATCTAGAAGCAGGRGGTTGCAGGGTTCCTTATCATTTGGTTTCACTTGATGCACTTTGTTCCTGGTGATTTCTTCCCTCGGTTGGGAGAGAATAAACCCGGCACCTTTGATGTGCCCAGGGGAAGCCTGCATCTTTACTGGAGCACGAACATGGAGAAAAATGAATGAGTTCTTGCTTGCATTGGTACTGGGCCATCTCCTTTTAAACCATATGCTGTGTATTTTTGTAAAGTCAGTGCCAGGTTCAATCACCTTCATTCAGTGCTGCAGGATCCTTCCAGAGTTTAACTCRCTGCTTTTTGCAGAGTGCTCTATTAATGAGCAGGAATGCACTAGGAACGTGTTTTACAGTCATAGCTTTCAATTTTCATGTGATCAGGGAGCAAATGTTTTCCCATTACACTGAAAATGGGAATATTTCTGTCTTGCACAACACTTTACCATAGAGGCTAATTACTAATTACCAGATTGGCATCGCTTTAATATTTTTGGAGAGCAGYTCTTCATCACTGTTGTTTATCACTGCAATTAAAGAAACTTTCACAACAGGGAAGGGGTAAGCAGTTCATATTTCCCCACTGAAGGCTGTTTTGGACCAGACAAGTGCACTACTGCTAAAATCTTTTTTCCAGTGAACTCAGTAGAGTTGGCTGCTGTTGCAGAAGGGTTGGATCTGAGTGCTAGCATTTTAAAATAGTGCATGCTGCTCCTGCTTTTGAGTCAGGGTTCTGTAGCTACCAGAAGACATTATTTTTTCAAATACCTCAGCGTAAAAAGCACATGCTTCATTTTTAAATACCACTTTGAAGGAAGCAGAGCAAAAGTTCACGTGGCTCCATTGCAAGAGAATCAGGCAGACAAGTGGGGCAATGGCAGGAGCTGAATAAATGGGYAGATGTAGCAGAGAAATTTATTTCAGAAAATAATTATTTACCTCATGGCGAATATTAACCAGAGGATGCAAGACCAAAAATGGAAAAGGTCAGCCACAAGTTTACCCATTTCATTTCGCTGTTTTCTTGCAATTTGTCAGTTTAGAAACCATTAGAGAAACAAGAGACATAAATATTTTACTRTTTCACCGTGAAACAGTAATTCCTTAAGACAAGAACTCAAAACAATATTAAAAAATAAAACCAAAATAATCAGCCTTTCACCAGCTCTTGTGTGAGTTCTCCCTTTGCCCTGTGCTTTGAGCTGCACTGGCACGGTTGGGTTTTCACGGAGCAGTCTGTCTTTACTACCCACATTTGCTTTTCCTGGGCACAGTCCTGCAGGCTTTACTGTCATGAGTAATTCTTACTAAAGGCTTATCAGAGTGACTAATCGAGTGTTGGAATTGCCACGCWTTCCTCAGTAAACAGGATCGGGCCTGTTTACTATATTTAGTGTTAGCTTGAATTAGCAAATCAAATGTTTTCTCGTTGTGCCTGGTACGAGGATATTTCTGAAATGTGTTTCCTTAGGGCTGCAATTGCCTTCAGGGAGCAGCAGTTCAGGCAGGGCTCGTACAGTAGGCATATTTCTCATTTGGAGTGATTTTTGTACTCATTTTAAACTGAGCCTGAGAACAAAATCACTCCAGTGACTGTTCTCTCCCTCGTTTTAGTGCATGGTATTGCCAGTCCTTCTGCATGTGAGTAGCCCTGTTTAAACTCAGTGGGTGGACTTGAGAATTAAGAATGATCTTGTAGGCTAAGAGTTTGCAGGATCAGGCATGCATGAAGAAAATGTCTGATATTCCTGAGTAACAAGGCGGAATCTGTGGAAAAATGAAGGAAGAACAGTAATCTTCCTCTCCTGCAATGCAAAACATATATTTTTAATTGGAAAAGTAAGTTTTGTAAGTCAGAGTGGGCAGGTTTTTCTTCTATTCTGACAGATTTGGTCTCTATATTGTAGCGCAGAGATGACTGATAACCCCCTTCATAAAATTAGAAACCACACCCCCAGACCATCTGGCATATTACTTAAAGAAAAACACTACCCAACATGGAGCTTATCATTGTATTCAAAAAAGAAAATCCAGGCCAGTTTGTCAGAGCCCAGTGCTGCATGTCCARCTCAGAGGGCAAAGGCAGCATGAAYATTCTCTTCTATCAGGAGCAGGGTCTTGTTTAATTTGCTGCCATCAGGATCCAGAGGCAGTGACAGAACTGGAGGCGAGCAGAAGCTGACCCTGTTTGGAGCAGAAAKCATGCACAGTCCCAGGAAGTAGGCAGCTCTAGTGTGCAGAGTACAGTTTTACTACGAGCAGGCTCAATCCCAGAACGGGGGCATTTCCTCTCTTCTCTTTGGCTCAGCAGMGTGGTTTCTTCTCCTGGCGCTTCACCTCTCCCATCTGTCCTGTGGGAGGTGGGGTTCATTTCATCACCTATTATGTTTGCCTCCCTGCTGGGAACAGATTTTTCCCCAAGTCATCTTGCCTTGCATGGGGAAAGGCAGGGCTGAGTGTGCCTCTTTGCATGGGTTAAGGGCATCCACCAGGGTCACCTTAGGCCATGTGAATTTAACGGCCTGTGATTAAGAGCTAGCAGAGCAGCTTTTGTTAAGTGGAGAAATGTTCTAAATTAACTGTATACTTCCATGGAAAAAAGTGTTRGGCTGCTGGAGAGCTGAGTCTTTTGGGAAATGAGCTGTTGCCTCTGAAGCTTTTGGTGTGGTGCTCAAATGAAGGATGCTCCAGTGCAATGTTTTGGATTCCCTTGCACCTTTTACACATCATGAAAGGCATCTTCCATGTGTGGCCCGTGTTTTTCCTGAGACAGATGAGGGAATATTTCCTCCTCTTCTGCAATTGGTCGATCACACCTAGGTAAAGGGAAGAAAAACAAACCTAAACAAAACAGGATCTTGCAGGCTGCTACTTACATTTCCTTTAATAGATCAAAGTTGCAAACTTAATGACATCTATCTCTGCAGTTGGATGTTAGAAGGGCATATTTTGCATCAGCCAAAAAGAAGATCAAAAAAAGAGACTCATGTTGCCGTGGGCTTTCTGGCTCTAGGACCGATTTGTAAGAAAGGCCATTTCAGTTTATTGTACCTTACACTGAATTCCTGGAAAAATKGAGATAATGAGAATTTCCTAAACTGCTGCTGTTGGTGCTACAAGTCTTGGATCTGTACTTTCTGGATGCACATCAAAGTGATGTGTAGAAGAGTTTGAGTTAAGACTGCATGTGTTGGGGAGTTGTACCTCACATAAAATAGTTTGGGAAGAAGATGGAAAGGCAAAAGTAGAAACTGATAAATGTGAAATAGCAGTAATCTTAGGATGCTTTCTACATGCTTGTTGAGTGAGAAGAGTAATCATGTATTGGCAGAATGTCACAGGAACTCTGTGATTTATATTCCATGGCCCAGTGGAAAATTGCCAATCTGACAAAAAAGAACAATTTCAGCTACACTAATGGAWTGACCAAGGCTAATTGCAGGAGTTTTTATGCCCATCATTGATATGTTGTCAGTACATAAAAGATTACGGAGAAATGTCTTGATCRGCTGCCATGAAAACATTTTTTTATTATTAAAACGTTAAAAGAGAGCTGCACTAATCTGGCTCTGTGCAGCATCCTCCATCTTCSCTTGGTGACGAGCAGTGTTTGAGTTCTAAACTAAGAACCGCCCGTTTCTAGGCTTTCTGCTCTAAGCCTCRTTTTGTGAGGTGCTAAGCACCCATAAACTCCCATTTCCTTTTCTTAGAGCTTATCCTTACCTTGCATCTAAATCAGTAAATCAAGGGAAAACTGATACAAATTAATCATCAGCCTTCCTTAAAGTCAGACTAGAGAGTGCTTTTTGTAGCATCGTGGTTTTAATGAAATAAAAGAAAGTCTTCTGGCCAGAGCCACGTGTGAGTTTCAAATCTGACTTGGTGATTTTTCAGTCTTTGGGCAAGACTCCTGTTGACTTAAACATTGCTTGAAGTGCAGTGATTTTCCCATTGACTTCACTGGGAAATGGAATTCCTTCCAAATGCCTGAGGGGATCAGGGGGACACTAAGTGCCTTTAGCATTGTTGTGTCTTCTGGCTCCAGCCATGTGCCCCACGATTCTGTTCATTARACCCAACGTGGATGCTGTGTCGATAGAAATTATAAAATTTGTGTTGCATAATGCACTGAGATTGGGTGGAACATGTTTGCAGTCTGCTGAGCTGGCTGTGTAGATCTCTTGTAACCCTTACAGAGAGATGTGAACTGAGGAAATGCTGTACATCCTTAAGATATGTAGTGAGACACTGAGAGTATGAGCCAGAGGCCTTCTTCACCTTGGAAATCAAAATCATCTTATGAGCAGCACAGGCTCCTGGAGGTGTCATTTTGCTTTATAAACAGTGTGCTGGGGAATGGCTGATTGCAGTTATGTGTGAGCACGTGGCTCAGCATTTTGGTTAGYTGATCACACCAGCCCTGTCCCTCTCACTGGTTTCTTTAACCGAGGCAGCWGGAGATCCTGCACGCCAGGAGAGAGCTGTGCCAGCATTCTGGGTGTGGGATTGGAGCAGTGGCAGCACACACAGCTTCCCTTTCCAGCCTGGTGCCCGTGCCCACCGAGCAGCTGGGATTAGAGGCATTAATTTTGTGTTTAATCTCCTTTTTGCTTGTGGACGGAGATGCCTCTTGCTCTGAGCCGAGCTCGGATCTTAGGCTGAGCAGAACTCACGCTGCTTTCTTTTGAGTATCACTTCATTGCCTCAAATTGAGGGAGAGGCTGTGACAACTCMGAGCTGCCAAAAAAGGAGGTCAGTATTAAGGTGTTGGGTGGCTGAGTGCTAGGAAACAGAAGAGGGCTGGAGGCACATCAGAACGGATCCTCATTTTGCATAACACCATTTGGGATCAGGTGGATGGCCTGCTGCCATCGGAATGGGATGTGGGAGACCTGGCTCCACTCCCCAGCTCAGTTGCAAACTTCCTGTGGGATCTCTGGCAAGCCATTTTATTCATACCACTGATGAGTTTTCTGGAGTATGGGGTGCAATAAAAGCAGAAATAAAACCTTTTAGTCATTGCCGTGTTACATGACAGGACTGGGACTGCAAATAAGGCCCAGTACCAGCTAATTAGTCAGGTTCYAGAATTTCCCATCAAAATCTACAGGAAACAAGCACCCTACGTGGGAACGAGGAGCCAATTAATTTGGATAAATGAAGACTGTGGCTTTCACAATGACTAATTTAATAAAAGGATCTGTTCAGCTGATAAGGAGRATAGGCACGACCAGTGGGTGATCCTGGCACTACCTCTTGGACTTCCCATTTTATCTACTCTTAGCTACTTACAGTAGCATTTTCCAATGATGATAAAGCCTGAGATGCAGAACTCATTCCTGAGGTGCTGGAGATGCTGCTTTCTTCATGCCTCACCTGGCTGTGCAGGTGATTTCACAAGCTGTGTGTTCCTTGGAGGAGAAAAGGAGTTGGTTGTTTTGTGGAGCAGAGCYTTGTGATGTGTGTTCCTAATAAATCCGAGAATAAAACAAACTCCAGAGTTGGAGTCAGCTGTGTACACAGAGCAGAGTGGAAGCAGGGAGTGTGGCAGTGCAGARGATGGGAGTGTAGGGTGTTGGTAGCTTGCAGAGAGGGTAATTGTGAACTGTGTAATACCTTTTTACATTTTTTTTTTGAGCATGTCACAGTTTTTTTTCGGAGCCAGCAGTGAAACCTGGAAAACTCTTCAGTGATGCTGCAGAGGACACTGCAAGCAGCAGAGTGCTAAACCCGTTAATTTTGGTGTCCTGGGCTCTGTGTGCAGCTCTCTGTCCCTGTTTGCACATTGTGCTGGTGCTTTGCAGACCCCACRGCATGGGACACGACCTGAACTGCTTCACTTAACAAACCCAAATAGCTGGAGYGGTTATTTTGTTGTTTTTTATGATAAATGAAATGCCAAGTTTTCCATCTTTGCTTTTTCTCATGGCCCTTTAACCCATGTGGTAGGCTTATTTAGGGAACAAGACAAGCCTGGATCCAGTCCCAGAGTTTGCAGTAGCTTCAGATGCCCCTCCAAAGGTTAGGATACTTCACAGGGGATTTGTTCTGCAACAGAGAGGCTAAAAGGAAACCCATGCTAGTTACTTTTTGCTTTTGATTCTGTCCTAGTGCTGCCCTGAAAACCAAGCAACAGAAAATTTACAGAGGCAGCATTGTTGCTGTTGGGTCTAATACCGTATTTTCTACTGCAGCCTCGTACCAGAACTTCAAAATATTTGTAAAAAAACATTTCACATGCGGGATTATTGTTCCTATTTCTACACCTTTCCAGCAAGAAAAGCCCTATTATGCCTTTCACATAAAAAAATACAACTGTTTTACTTTAGCTATGGTTCTCTGCCACAGTGTGTGCACGGTTTCTGGGGATTTTCAGTAAAATGGATATTGGAATTAAATTGTGCATGCTTATGCATGACATTCAGTGTCTGTGTCTTAAAAGGGGTTGCATTAGACTTAATTACAGCAGGAATTGGTGTTGTACATATGAGCAACACAGATTTGTACCCGTGGGGCAGCAGATAACATACCTGAGGTTTAATATTTTGTTTCCTCTTCTAGGATATGACGATGTTTCAGAAACAAACTTGAGATCTTACAGTGTTCATTCTGCCAAACATGTGCAAGAGAACCGTCCTGTGCCCATTCGCAGAAAAAGAAGCATTGGTAAGAAACAAGCTGTTTGTACTTTGGGACTGAAAGCAGAGGGGGTGCTTTTGGTCAGCCAAGCAGGACATTTGACTGGAAAAATGTGACGTGCACAAAGGGAAAAAAAAAAAGGCCATTTCTAGCTTCTGGCTTTCTTTTTTGCACAAAACGAGCCGTTGCCTGAGAAGCTGTCTTCTGGAGGATGTCCATAGGAGACAGACATGCACAAATTCTTTACATTCACTTTCTTGTTGCAGCATGTTGGAAAGCTAGACCTYGGTTAGAAAATGCTGTGATATTCAATGTATAATTCATAGTGTGGGGAACAACTACAGCAGTGTGCTTTAAAAAACATCAACAGTTGGTAGAGTTTTCAGTACAGWAGCTCCACAAAAGGAAACAGCTTGACTCTTTATTCACAAGAAAAATACGGTTTATCCCAAAAATTAAAAGCCATTGATGGAAACGCCGGGGCATTGATTTCCATCACTGTATAAGGCACTAGGAATGTTTACAGGGGATTTAATTCTTATTAATAATGATGGTGATCCAACACAACCCAAATATAAATTCACAGAGATGCTGGAATAGGATCTGTATGCAATGCTGGTTCATCTGATCAGTTGTGAGTGTTCCACATTCTGTTGGACTGTGGATACCATCCCTGATCTTACCCATGGTGGTCCCTCAGTGTGTTTGCACTGTGCTGATGCCCAGAGCTGGCCCAGCTTGCTGTCAGCAGGGATTTGCAGTGTGATTTGGCAGGCACACCCGTCACTTTGGCTGCCTGGGCACAGCAGAGGTTCTGGAGCAGCCTGAGGCGTTGGCACCTCAGCCTGCAAGGTGCAGAATGCTCCCCATCACTCTCAGTGGCACCTGGGGGTGCTCAGGAACTTGGGAGAGCTGCCAGCTATCTGCAGTGTTGGATCTGCTGATCTCCTGGAGTTGGTGGCACTGGGGGGCTGAGAGTAGGAATTTTCACTCTGTTTAGTCTGTTGAAATGCATCTCTATCAAAWCTAAGCCTGGATTTTCATTTTGCAGGCACAGGCTAGGCCTGAGCTTCTTGTGCTTTAAGAATCAAGTGAAGAAGTGCAGGCAGTGTTCCAGTTCCCTGACACATCTAACCCAAAGCTATCACAAGCTTCCACTCTGAGGCAAAAAAAAAAATAAAATCCCAGCTGTCTTTGGAGAACTTATCAGCAAACAACTTGTCCCTGCAAATTGCTATTTTTTTCTGGACTGTTTCAGAATATCAGCTCGACTTCTTAAACATTCCCCAGGTTGAGGACAATACGTGGATCATGGCAGCATCACGTTGTACAGAGCTACTCTTTATAATCCTCTACAAGCTCACCTTACATGAGCCTGCCAGGATATTGGTTTAGCTGCAGGTTTTTTGGTCATGCTGCTCTGGTGGTTTTGCCTCATTTGAGAAATAAAAAAATTAATAAACCCCACCATGTACAAAGCTTTGATAACTTCAGAAGAAATGGCATTTGCCCTTTGGAATGGTGGATGGAATCAGGGTCAGACTCTCTCATGGGGGGATGTTAAAGTTGTGGAAGTGGAAACCTGAGTCTCAAATGTTTTGAGCTGGTGCAGGTTGTTTCCTAACTGAGCCAATTTGGGTCTGATACAGACAATCCTCACTTGAACTCCTGAGTTTGCCAGGTGTTGCATTTTGTGTGAAAGTGTTTGGGTGCAGTGATGACCCCAGTGTTGGAAAGCAACAGCTGTAGTTGCACAGCTGCTCTAAGGGTCACTGCATATGGAGGAGCCCCTGGCTTGCTGTCACTTCCAGAGAGCCAGGAATGTCTTATCTCATGGCATGTGCTGGGAGCTGTGCTGGCAGCCAGGCCACTGCAACCCCTCATTTCAGGGCTGGGCTTTGGGAGCCAGCCAGGCTGGTCCCCAGGGTGACAGCACAGCTCAGCTGTGAGCAA